ACGAGATATTTTATTTTTTATATCAAAATATGTCAGATTAAAATATAAAATAACTCAAAAAGTACTTAATGAAAAAATACTTTATTATAGTGTTTTGAAAAGCTCGCGAGGTAAGCTACAAGAATGTGCAATAAAAAATAGGGGATTTCATTAAAAAAAATAAAGTTGTACTTCATATAACCTTGGCACGTTCACTCTGGGTCAAACCAATGACACCATCTTATGTCTCCCTTCGAACCAAACAACTCTTGTCTGAAACGTTTTTCGATATCTTTCATATTTTTCGAGATATTTACCTAGGGCGATTAAAATGAAACACTCTGTATATATACAAGCTGTATAAATATATTTGGGAGAGAGAGAGAAAGAGAAAAAGATAGGCAAAGAGAGAAAAACTTTATTATTATTTGTTAGAGATTGAACAATTCGCGTCCTTAGTTGCTGGACTGCTTTGACAAGAACTAGCGGACCGGTGTTGCTATCTCATGCAACGATGCTGTTAATTCGCATATGATCGTAAAAGGCGCTACTGTCCTATACGACGGCGCCTTCACCATGTGCTTTTTTTAATACCGTCTCTTGTCTTTCTATTCTTCTTCTTGTTTTCTTTTCGTGTGTATGTGATATAGTAAATACGTGATATACTAAAATATAGTCAGTCGATGAGCCAAAGATGGTGTTTCGACAACGGATGTACGTCGCATTTTTGCAAGGAAGTTATTTGTAAAATCGTACAAGGCTGACAGCGGCATAAAATTGGCAAACGAAACGACAGCGCGCGCGACGGCCAAAGGCGACGTGAACATAACGGTTTCGAACGGTAAGCAATGCAAAGAGGTTACGCTTGCAAATGCGCTATACGTACCGGATCTTCGGACAAACCTCTTATCGATCGTAAAAATAATCGATAAAAATCACAAAGTCTTGTTCACGAGAAAACACGCATATGTAAAAGACGCAAACGGTACTGGTGGCCGATCACGAAGATGATCTGTTATCTACGTGAGGGATATATAACATAACGTGCATTGCTACGGATGTTTCAAATAGTTCGACAGAATGGCATCGACGGCTTGGCCACTTAAATTGGAACAGCATGTCATTCATGCTACAAAACAAGATGGCATCTGGTCTAACCTTCAAAATCAACATTTCACTTCCTCCATATGACGTCTGTAATGTTGAAAAACTCTCGAGACTTCCTTTTCCCAAACGCGAACAGAGATCACTCGTCTTGCTCGGAATAGTGCACATAGATGTATGCAGTCCCATGCGAATACAATCGCAAGGTGGCGCTTGTTATTTTCTCACGTTTACCGATTACTACAGCCGTTGGACTATGATTTATTACCTGAAGAATAAATCTGAAATGACATCCAAATTTCTAGAATACAAAAATTATGCAGAAACACAAACCAGTGAGAAAATTAAGGCTCTACAGTCAAATAATGGAAAGGGGTTCTACAATTCAACTATGGATAAGATATCGGCAGAAGCTAGAATTCTGCGACGATTGACGACTCCACAACTCTCGCACAATGGTATACCCGAGCGGAAAAATAGGACACTCGTCGAGAGTGCTCGCTGCATGTTAACGGAGTCCGGACTTCCAATATCCTTTTGGGCCGAAGCTGTCGCAATGGCGAACCACGTAAGGAATCGGTGTTCGACGAAAATCTTAGGCACCAAAACACCCTTCGAAATGTAGACGAGCAGGTCCGAACGTCAACAGCTACAAAAATTTGGAACCAAGGTGTATGTTCTGAACAAATCGTCCAACAAAGGTAAATTTTCACCAAGAAGAATTGAAGGAACTCTTGTTGGATACTCCGAAACGTCCGAAATGAGGATCCATATAACGCGAGATTTCAAATTTTTTAATAAGTTCCAGACGAAGGACGAACAACAAGATTCTGTCCGAAGAACCTCGGGTAAGCCATTTTCTGTTTTAGATAACCAACAAAGCCCAGGAATGAGCTGCGAAACCGAAATTGGCTCTAGCATGGAACCTGACGCAAGGGATCAACAGGCAAATGAGGAACGAAATGAGCTTCAGGGCGATCCTAACGAGCTTCCACCAGACAGCATTGTGGCAAACAACGGACGCGCTGCAAACGACGTTGACTAAGAGGAACCAGCTGCGGCTGACAACCGATTATGCCGCGGTCCCGATAGACCGCGCAAGATTTTAACTGGTAAACCGGACCGACTCGCCAAACAATACAATGTGATGCCCGATGTTGCAAGAACCGGAGAATCAGGGCGAATCGAGCGAAGACGAGTTTCTAAATTGAGAAGACGCTGAATTAGCGCTGAATACACCTGAAATTCCATCCCACAAGACGATGTCTGGACCGGACAAGTGGTTCGACGCGGTGTACTCTGAATTAGGAGTCTCATCATCAACGACACTTTCGATATCATATCGAAACCCAATGATAGGAAAGTCATCAAGTGTCGCACAGTATTAAGGAACAAATATGATGCCAATGGAATCCTGAAGAAAAGCACGCGTAGTCGCAAAAGGATACGTTCAGCGTTTCGGCATTGACTTCTTTGAAACTTACGCTCCGGTCGCATGTCTCGGTTCTCTTTGATTGCTGATGGTCTTAGCTGCAAAATTCAATTTAAAAGTTTCTTAGCTGGAGATCGAGACTATATATCTAAACGGAAAAATGGATACCGATGTATACATGGATCTGCCGCATGTAATGCTGGAAAGGATGACTTACCAGGAACAGGATGCCGAAATCTTGAAACAAGCCCGCACCATGGTAAAGGATATCAAGGGGCCGGATAAAGTGTGAAAACTAAACAAGACTCTACGGTCTACGTTAAGCAGGTCGACAATGGCATGCGGAACTCGGCAAAGCACTTTGAAGCATCGGACTAACTCCTACCAATGCTGACACATGTATTTACGTCGACAAAGGAAAGCTCACTGTCTCACATATTCACTTATGTCGACGACATTCTGATAGTTTCCAACGATCGAAATAAGAAAAATCGAATCAAAAGTGAACTTCCCAAATTATTCAAGGTTAAAGACCTCGGTACTGCCAAATATTGTCTAGGTATCGAAATTCGACACGACGAGGAGAAGGTTTGTCTTAGTCAACGAGGCTATATTAAAGAAGTCTTGAAGCGCTTTGGCATGAGCGATTGCAAACCCGTCGATACTCCAATCGCTTTAGGCATCAAGCTAATGAAGAGCTCAGATGTTGAGGAAAATAATGTTGAAAATCATCCATACCAAGAACTAATCGAAGCCTTGATGTACGCTGGTGTGAGACATTGCGCACGCAGTAAGTGTACTCAGCCAATTTAACTCATGTTACAGGAGGGAACATTGGGTAGCTGCCAAACGGGTGTTTCGATATCTCCAGAGAACATCTGACTACGAGTTGGTTTTTCATAAGGACAATGTCGCTGCGAGGTTTTGTTGACGCCAACTGGGGTAATTGCTCTATTGACAGACGCTCCTACACCGGCTGTATCTTTGCACTCAGCGGAGCAGTTATAACATTGGGATTCGCGAAAATAAAGAACGGTCGCCTTATCATCAGCAGAAGCGGAATACATGGTTATCGCCGTCGCTGCCAAAGAAGCCATATACCTCACCAACTTTCTCAAGAAGCTGGGATTTGCCGATCTCGCAGACGTTGTAATTTACAACAATAATCGTAATGCTGGGCTGTTGGCAGAAGGGCATGTGTTCTACGTCAGATCTAAACACATAGACATCAAACATCATTTTATTTGTCACGCGATGAAGGAACGCACACTAAAGCTCGCATATCTATCAACCAAAGAAATGATCGCCGATATTCTCACTAAGGCATTGCCAGGAGTTAAATATTTGAAATGCGTAATCGGCCTGGGACACCAATGTAGCAAATGTTCTCGGGCGCAACTTGAAGGAGTGTTGTTTGGGTGATAAATAATTGTACTTGATGTGAAATAAAACAGATATATTTAAGACTTGCTAATACACAGCGTGACTCATGAAAACGTGTACAGGCAGTGACAAAAGGAAAGAAGAATAAGTACACTACCTAGGGATAAGCGCCCGTTCCAGCGCCATCTATCATGCACTTGAGGACTCCTTTCTCAACAAGGAGGATGTTAGAGATTGAACAATTCGCGCTCTTATTTGCTGGACTGCTTTGACAAGAACTAGCAGACCAATGTTGCTATTTCATGCAACGATGCTGTTAATTTGTATGTGATCATAGAAGGCGCTACTGTTTTATACGACGGCGCCCTCATGCCTGTACTTTTTTAATACCGTCTCTTGTCTTTCTATTCTTCTTCTTGTTCTCTTCTCGTGTGTACGTGATATAGTGAATACGTGATATACTAAAATATAGTCAGTCTAGTTCAAATAATTCTAACCGATTTATTTTTCGTTTCTCCGATCCGCTCGCTCTAACATTATTATAATTAATTATGCATATCGTATAATTCTATACACATCATACATTTACATGTGAGAAATACGATCACCTTCGTCTAAAATTATATATAACCAAACAATACAGTAGATATATGCCAGGATTAATTACAGCTAAGCCAAAAACAAGAATATCATTTTTGTTTCTTTATGTAAAAAAATTGGTAAATATGCCGATGAAGGGAGGCAGTCCCGATGACTTTGACCTTGACATATGTTGTCAAGGTCATGACCCTGAACAACATTCAAAAGGTTTTAGCCGTCGCTCGTTTTTTATTAAAAAATATTAGGTGTACAAATAAGTTTCCGCCGTTTGACAAAAGTTGGCGCCACCAGTAAGTTATGGTTAAAATTGTCAGATGTAAAACGTCCTTATCGTAAGATTGGACATCAGTCAATAACATAACCTTAAAATATTAGTGATTTTTTATGAGTATAATATATTCTTTTGTGTGCAAAAATGTCGAGTTTTGAGCCGAATAAGCGTCATTTGCGGGAACTTTTGATTTACTTCTTCAATTTGAAGAAATCTGCAGCTGAGGCGTATCGATTGCTTGTAGAAGCATATGGTGAGGCTGCCTTAAGTGAGAGAAGTTGTCATGAGTGGTTTCAAAAGTTTAAGAACGGTGAATTTGACATCGAAGACAAAGAACGTAACGGAAGGCCGAAAGTGTATGAAGACGCGGAATTGGAAACATTATTGGATCAAGATTCGTGCCAAACGCAAGAAGAACTTGCACTTACATTGGGAGTGACTCAACAAGCAATTTCACATCGGTTGAAATCATTGGGATTGATTCAAAAACAAGGAAATTGGGTTCCATATGAACTGACGCCGAGAAACGTTAAACGCCGATTGTTCACATGTGAAATGCTGCTTGCCAAACATAAACGAAAGGGTTTTCTGCACCGTATAATCACTGGTGATGAAAAATGGATCCACTATGATAATCCAAAAAGGAAGAAATCATGGGGACCACCTGGCCATGCTTCAACATCTACAGCTAAACCTAATATTCATGGAAAAAAACTCTTGTTATGCATTCGGTGGGATCATCTTGGTGTCCGTGGATAGCCTCAAAAGATGAAGCATTCTTCCGACGCGGTATCCGTATGCTGCCAGAAAGATGGGAAAAAGTAGTGGCAAGCGATGGACAATACTTCAAATAAAACATTAGGTTCCGTTCTTTCACAATAAATGCCCAATTTTTGATAAAAAACGGCGGAAACTTATTTGTACACCTAATAATTAACAAAAAGTTTGAAAAATATAGCAGTTATTTTGAGTATTGAAAGGCATCCCAACATCGGGAAATGAAAAAAACTTTATATAAGATATAACACATAGGTTTGAGTTTGAATCTCGCTTCACGTGGAAAATTGTAAACCCATGTGGAACCTTACTTCGCATTAAAAAGCATATGCGTGGAGGCAGTGTGTTCCGCTCCCCCCCTACGGGGGGGGCTCCACTTCCAGAAGATGTAACCTAACCCAAACCTATTTCTGATTTAAAACTAAAATTTGGTTTGGTTATATCTTCCGGAAGTGGAGCCACCCCGTAGGGGGGCGGAACCCACTATGTCCACACACTTTCCCATCTACATAACAATTGTGGGGTAGACCTCGCTTTGCTTTGTAAAGTATATATATGCGTGAACATTGTGAATTTCGCCCCCCCCCCCTAAGGGGAGGCTCCATTTCCGGAAGATATTAATAATAGAATAATAACTATTTTTATTATTAATACAAAGTAAAATATTAAATAGAAAATTTTTTTGAAAACTGTTGCTACTAGCGTATTGCGCTATTACAATTGTAATACGCACATTCCTGAGACTAAGTGATGCGCTCCTTAGTTATGAGCGTCCGGCGCTGCGTTGCTGAGGCCCGAGCAGTAAGAGGGGCGCAGTAGGCGTGAGGCGTGAGTCAAGAAATCTGACCGAAAGATGCAAGTAAATCCCAACACTGCTATAAACCACGGCTCTGACCATAGACATAGGGCGCGTTCCAGTTAACGACCGCAACACATGGTCAGAGCCATAGACATAGTATATCTAGATCGAGTGTTGAGGAGTGGGAGCCGAGATGCACGTAGAAAAGGACATACTCTGCTTCGTGTCCCTTGCGTTCTCTCTCGCTCGCACGTAGCATGACAAAAGAGAGCGCTATGCTATGTGCGAGCGAGAGAGAACGCAAGGGACACGAAGCAGAGTATGTCCTTTTCTACGTGCATCTTTATCCCCATTCCTTAAATAAAGGCAAACGCTCGGTCTAGATATACTATGTCTATGGCTCTGACACTCTCATATACTAGAGTCCTAGACTATCAGAGAGGCGCCAACTCTACCCCCACCATGCCCACCGCCAACATCTTAAGATACAAACGTCAGTAGCGCTTATATATATATATATATATATATATAAAAATGTTAAGTTTATTTCCGGATTTGTATCGGTTATGATTACAATAGCAGAGAATATTATAACCTGTTATGTTTTATTTAAGTAAATGGAACTGTTTGACATATAAAAGATTCTTTCTCTGCATATGAT